TAGTGCCACGTCAGCAGCCGCGTCAGCAGTCCGGTCAGTAGCCCAAGCCAACCAGGACACGCCGCGTGGCAGGGACGCTGATGCGGGAAGCACATGGGACGGAGATACGTGGGCGATCCGCGTGCGCGCGATCGGACGGCCCAGATCCGTTCCCGCACGCACGAACGACCCAGATCAAAATCGCGGATGGATGGCCCAGATCTCACGCGTGCGGACGGCCCAGATTTGATCACGTACGGACGGCCCAGATCGCATTGCGATGGACGGTCCAGATTTATTTTCAATTTAATCACGATTGGATAGCCTAGATTAAATCATGAAGAACGGCTTAGATTAAAAGGGGAGGGTTATAAATAATCGCATCCACACCCAACCCCAAACTCTAGCCGCCAGAACCCTCGTCGGAGAAGACGACCCAGCCACTAGAGGAACCGGCTGCCGCCACCCCCCGCCGCACCGGAGGATTTTTTTGGCCGCCAAACGAGGTAAAATTTCTCTCATTGGCTCGTTTTTCGATGCTGAACCTCCATGTGGCCAAATCGAAGCCAAACCACCGGCCGATTGGCCGAAAAATACCGCCGAAGTCCAGCGGTGTCGCCGCGGATTTTCTCGATTTTTGTCTCCGATGAGGCCCTTCTCAGTTCCCATTCAATGTAATTTTTATACCACTGTGACCACTGTCCTTTTCTCTACAGGTTGACCAGAGCAAAACACCAAATCGCAACTCGCGCCGGAGGAGCCGCCGTACCCGAGAGTTTCACCGCCAGTAAGTCTCGGTTTTCTGAAATTTTTTTGTCCATTGAGGGCCTTAGGGGTGTTTTATCACAGGAACCAATGCAAGTTTGGCCGAATTCGTCGAAAACGGTCGAAAACAGCCAACATAAGGCGGATCGTCGCCGTGAGCTGCGGTGCCATCGCCGGAGCACGGGGGAGCCCCCGTGCCAGAATTTTGAAATTGGCCGAAAGGGCCCTGGGTCTGATTTAGGGTATTTTGGGGACATTTGCAGGTACCAGAAGTGTGTTTCAGTTTCTGAAAAAAAAAATTCAGGGAATCTAAGGACTGCCCGTAGGTGCAGTGAGAACCCGATTTCAGACTCCGAAACAAGTAAGGATCTCTCACCCTATTTCCTATCACGATATTAAAGTCTAATAAATGATAAAACGGTATTTTATGAATTCATGGATATATATAATTAATTAAGGTTGTTAATGGAGCTCGAATCTGATATGTTTTTCGGTCAGTTCCTGTTTGATTTATTTTACAGTTTAAATGCAGTATAGTATCTGATTTGTTTATTCTGTGGCTTCGTATGCATGATTCACTGTTTAATTTATTATGGTTTGATTTTTGTGAACCCGATGTTATGTTTGTCTGGTTTGGTGTTCGTTACTGGTTTACGTATTTACATTTGATTGGATAATTGAAATTAAGAAAAATGGAAAAAGGTATGTGACTTGATAAATGGATAATGTCGACAGCCTAACTAGATATCCTGAGAGATGGTGGACGGACCGGGTCCATAGAGAACCCTACCGGGAACGTGGTCTCTCATATCGGACGGGGTATGGAGACTTTATGTGTTTTGGCACCCATACCAGATGGGGTATGGGGACGACTTGTTTCACCTTCATACCGGACGGGGCATTGAGATTTATGGTTTTGGCGCCCATACTGGACGGGGTATGGGGACGACCCTGAAATTAAGTTATTAATATGAATGGTTCACATGTAGTGGGAATCCCCTATGGATCCCCATGGATACTAGTAGGCTGATAAAAGAGAAAATTTGTTGTCTGATAATTGAAATACAAAAGTATGACATGTACTATGATATAGATTATGTATGAATTCATGATATTTATGATGTTATTGTTTCTTATAAGTTGTTTTCATGAATTTCACTGAGGTAAGTGGACAGTAAAGATTTTTATTATTGATAAATGAATTTGTTATAAATTATGCTCCATTGGTCGTTTTTATTTTCTACCAACTTTTACTTCTATGACAGTGAAATAGTGTGATGTCTTTACTGGGGTAGTGTAGTTCATTCTTTACTTAACCATTTCAGATCAGGAGGACTTGGTTCTCGAACCTGTTCTGCAGGAAGACGGCGAGTAGAAGCATAAGAATTTATTAGTTTTCTTTATAATATTCATTCATAATATTTCCTTTAGTTAGTTTATTCTTTCATACGTTTAATTCGTTTTGTTTATTGTGTAAGGGATGTTAATCATAATGTATTTTATTTCGCTTCCGCACTTAAAATAAATTTATACATTTCCTTTTAATTTCCGGGACCGTCACAAAAATAGACAGCTATAGAGTTCAAGAAGTATCAAAACATATTTTCAAGAGATACAAAAATAACTGTTGGACATTCTCTTACAACTCTCTAACTGATAATCTATGTTTAGTGCTCTTTTACAAAAATAGCAGAAAGAATCATGAAAAGAGTTATTTAATATTTCTAAAGGTAAAGGCTACTCGGGGAGATTTTTCTTTATGGTCTTCTCAAGTGTCTCTAGCAATTGCTTGATTTTATTCAACAACTTCATTAACTGTTAACTAAGATGGAGGTTCAGGTTCATGAGCAACTTTTTCTTTTACCTTGGAGGAGGAAGAAGATGCAGTCTAAGTTCTCCTAGCCGTTATTTTGGCAATAAGAGAATTAGGGTCATTTAGCCTCATCTGCTTGAGGTTATTCTTATCATGAATTAGAGTAATTGACGCCTCAATCACTTCTTCCTTTCTCAAAATAGAGTCATCCAACTTGAGGCTTGCTATGTATGATATGAGGGAACCATACGGTAGAAGCATATGTTGCAGGTTCATATCCCTCATTTTATTTAGAACAATAGATTTCGAGTTTACTTTCTTCCCAAAAGTAGATGTCAGATAAGACCCAACTCCATAACAGTCATATTGTCAAAACCACCTGAACTGGGTAAAAGATCTGAAATTAAAATTTAATCACCAATAATCCTGACAAGAGCAAGAACCATCTCTAAAATGGTGAAACCTACTACAATCTCTCACAATAATCTCTCTATTGTACATCTTCGATATAAGCTTGATTGCCAAATGGCAATCCCCACAAACTCTTAGATTTTTCACCACCCTAATTGGAGTCTCCGGTGCTGTTTTGATTAACATAAAGGCAATAGCAATCTTCTCACTGTGATAGGACAAAGAATTCTCCTTTTCCTCCTCTTCAATGTCTGCAAATACATTTGAAGTCTGAGGCACATATCCTTCTGATCTCAACCTCCTTGTGATCTCTGCTAACATTGTATATATCTCCTCACTTTCAGAATGAGATTTATCCCCCATGACAAATTCATGCACACAATTCCCTATCTCAACAAAGCTATACCCAGGAGTTTTCTTCACTCCTTCCCGAATCATTTTCTTTCTCACCTTGTGCACATCAGACCATCGTTGCTCTGATGCGTATAGATTAGATAGCAGCACATAATCCCCACTATAATAAGGTTCTAACTCTATAAGTTGAGCTCTGGCATGTTCCCCTATTCCCATATAACCATGTTTTGTGCAGGCTGCTAGTAATGTCCTCCAAACAACGGCATTGGGCTGCAATGACATGTTTCGGATATATTCATGTGCTTCCTTCACCTTACCAGCCCTACCCAACAAATCAACCATACAACCATAATGTTCTATTCTTGGTACAATGTTATACTTTTCTGTCATCCTTTTAAAGTAATTGAATCCTTCATCCACCATTCCACAGTGACTACAGGCATACAACACACCAACAAAAGTGATCTCAGTTGGCACCAATCCTTCAATCTCCATAGCCTTGAAAAGCTCAAGTGCTTCCCCTCCAAATCCATTCACTGCCAACCCAACAATCAAAGTTGTCCAAGAAACCCCATTTCTTTCTTCCATCTCATTAAACAATTTTTGAGCCTCTCTAATGCTCCCACACTTTGCATAAACGTCTAAAAGAGCATTATTGGCATATAAATTCTCACTCAAACCGACTTTCCTCATATACCCATGAACCCTCTTGCTTAATGCTAATGCACCAAGCTCAGCACAAGCGGATAACAGACTAACCATGGTGAACCCATCAGGCTGGATTCCTTCCAGACCCATTTCCCTGTAAAGACTCAGAGCTTCATTGGGTCTACCGTTAACGATAAACCCATTAATTACAGAGTTCCATGCTACAATATCTCTGTCAGGCATTAAATCAAACACCTTGTAAGCACTCTCTACTTCCCCACAAATACTATACAAATGGAGCACAGAATTCTGAGTGAAAACCAAGGACTCAAACCCAGTTCTAATAATAATACCATAAATCTTCTCACCCAATTTAAGGTCCGCCATTTTAGCTATGGCTTTTAAAAGAAAAGGGTATGTATGGGTATCAGGCTCAACACAAGTGGATGCCCGCAATTGATTATACAAGTTAAGAGCTGGAGCTGGATTCTCAGTCTCGGCATAGCCTCTTATCATGGTGTTCCAGGTAAATATGTTGGGATTTTTGATCTGGGAAAAGACGTTGTGGGCATATGACATTGAGGCTGAAAGAGAAACAAGATGATAAATTAGGTGCTTTCCAGTTTCTGGGTCGCTGATTGGGACGCCATGCCTGATCCAGAAACAATGAATTTGTTTCAGTTTGAGCTTGGAGGATGAACAAGTTTGCAGGAGAGTAATGCATCTCTTGATAATCAAAGGTGGCAGAGTATCTTTGTTTCTCATTAAGATGTATATATGACATTATTGTAATAATCAAATTTCAAACATGCAATGTAAGACAGAAGAATCAACTCTGGATCTCTTTAGGGATTCTCCAAGTCTCCATTTTTTTTTTCCTCTCCCGTCTCTTCCTCTTCTCTTTTCTTCGTTAAGATGGCAAAAACGAAGTGCAAATAAATCAAGGATGAAGGCGTAGAAGAAAAAATAAGAGAAACCCAGCAGCCCAGCCAAGAGCCTCAGCCCAAAGAAAGAGAAGGAAGGAAGAGGTCCAACCGACACTCTCTAAAAGTATCCTCTTTTGCAGATCAATAACAAACAAGTATTAATTGCTGAAAAATATATGTACATACATACATGTATACATATATATATATGTTTGTCTTTTACTGGGTTGGATCCCACCACCATGGCTGTCACTGACTACTGATTTACTTCAGCTAGATTTCAGGATCTACCAAGTAAAATCAATGGAATCCAACAGAAGTTGATATCAGAGATCTGCTGACTTTAGCCTTCAAAAACTTCTAACAGACATGTTTTGACCATCTATATATACATAGTTTTAGTCCTCCGTGCTTGGAAATACCTACCGACGACATAAAAGTTGAAAACTATATTTATATTATTAAGTAAATTTTTAAATTCAAATATAATTATTTTAATTATCCAAAGTGACTATAAATATAACTAAAATATATTCATTTTGTAAGATTTATATGTTCATCTACAATATTATTAAATTGAGTTTAAAAGATCAAATACAATTTTTTTTTTTACTAAAGAGTAAAGTTATCATTGTATTTATATATATATATATATATGATGGTATTTGAAAAGTTACACCCTTATTTTTTATGTACTACAATTTGGCATAATTCTATTATTCTATAATTTTTTTTAGTATACTCTTATTTTAGAATTAAAAATCCAAATTTGAATCTAAATCCTATTTCCCACTTTGAAAAGTTGGTGACAAAATTTAAATTTTGAGGGATAGTAATAATAATAATAATTATATCTCCTATTTGGTCTTGATGGTATTCGCATTTTGAAAAATAATAATAAATTTACATATTTTTATAGAAGTATTATGAGAATATTAAAAAAAGAAAGTCATTTACCAAAAAATAATTTTAATTTATTTATTTTATTTTTTTTAGATAAATTTTGGGTGAAACTCGAATTTAAATATCTAATATTTTATTGAGAATTTCATAATAAAAATACTATGTCGTTTTAAATATACTTAAATATTAAATTAATTTTTGTATTATTTTTAAATATTTAAATGAGCTTACGTACTAATTTTTTATCCTTTTATTATATTTATTTTAAATATCTGTATTAGTTAACATCAATTAAATTGACACTAACATTTTTGATAGATTTATTAAAATTTTTAAGTTAGATATTACTTAATATTTGATAAAACAATTTTTTTTTAATTTTTAATAATAATAAAAAGATTAAAAAAATAAAAAAATTAAGAACATAAAATTAAAAAAGAAAAAAAAAAGCATAAATGAGGAGCTTATCGTCTTTTTGGATCTTGTAATTTTTTTGAAACTCGTCAATTTTTTATTTATGATATCACGTTATATTTAATGTAAAAATTAATTTAATTAAAAATAATTACCGTATTTAACTTATCATATAAAATATTTACTTATTAATTTAGTTAAATTAAATGAATATATATTTTTTAAAAAGAAAAAATTTTATTCAAATTTGACCAAAATTATTTGAAGTCGGCAAGGTGTAAAAGGGGGTGTTCATATTTTTTAGTAGCATTTAACACACATAGAGTAATATATATTTTAAAAAATTAAAAAAAAAAGTACATAAAATAATTTAAATATTTAAAAATAATTATAAAAATTACATGTAAAGCAAAAAGTTTTATTCAAAATTGACCAAAAGTATTTGCTGTCGGCAAGGTGTAAAGGGTGTTCTTTATTTATTTTATATTTTTTTGGGTATTTTAATTAATTATGATACAAAATTATATATATATATTATATATGAAAGTTGATGTGTGTGAAAGGAGGGCATTTCTGTAATTTCATAGTAAACTAATCCAAAGTCTCTTATACCTCACGAGTGGCTCTTGTCTTCCTCCATCAAATCCGCTCTCTCACTCACTCTTCCTCACAATCAAACTCTTGAGGAACAGAAAAGAAAAAGAAAAAAGAAAAAGGGGAAGGAAAATCTTACAACTTTGAAAAAGAAAAATCATGAAGAGTGACAAAAAACTAAAGATTAAAATTGAAGTAAATACTACCCCACAAAACGGCTAGAAACCAGAGACACAAGTCTCAATCCAATCCATTACAGATATTTCTTCTTTGCTCGTCAAAAACAGAACTTACCAATCATAATCACCAACCAACAACGCCCATCAATCATTCAATGCTTCTTCACGTTCTACCCTTCTTATACTTTCCCTTCTTGAACGGAAATCTCTAATCTTTTCATTTCTCTTCGCCGAAAATCCCACCTTTCTGCATTTTACAAAGATAAACCCGAGAGAAGAACCAGACCCAGATGGAATTTGAGTCCTTCTTGACGTCCTTAGCGACGTCGTTTCTCATTTTCGTTGTGTTGATGTCGCTCTTCTCGTGGCTGTCGAGGAAACAGGGGAATACAGTTGTGTATTATCCGAACCGGATCCTCAAGGGAATGGATCCGTGGGATGGCGGGTCCAGGACCCGGAACCCGATTGCGTGGATCCGGGAAGCATTGTCTTCCACCGAACAGGATATTATTAACATGTCTGGAGTGGATACGGCTGTCTACTTTGTGTTCTTGAGCACTGGTTTGTTCTGGAAATACCCTTTTTTGTTCTTTATATCTTGTCTTTTAGTGCTTAATGTCGGTGCTGCATACCCTTTTTGGTTTACTTGAAAATAGATTTGTTCTTGTGTTTCTATTTTAAGGAACTGTAATTGCAGGGAGTTTTTATGGAAGTTTTTGACCTGGGATTTTCTGTTTGTGGATAATTTACTGATTTCTCTTTATTATTTTATAACAAATTTGTGGATTCACTTCCAAAACTCATGTTTCTCTCCTTCTAATCTTCTGTTTATTCAATTTAGTCTGCTTGCACTTGAGCTTACCAGTTGTTGGAACAAAAGTATGCTTGTTTTCCCATAAAAATATGATACCAATGATTTATGAAATCCACCATATTTATATGAAAATTTTGATTAACTATAATAAATGAATTGAGAGCCTTAAGAGTTGTAAACTAAAGGAAGACAGAAACATGAGAGTGTTTTTGTTTTCTATACACCAATTTGTTAACATTATAAAGAGATGTGTTTCAGTTGGTCATTCTCTGCCAATAAGTTCTAGAGGTAGAAGATGGTTCGCTATGCTTCAAGTAATTATTTATTTAAGAATCATAGCAAATGGTGGGTGCTATGTAAGCAATAGGAAGAAAAACCCAGTTCAAGCTACTGAATTCTCTGACTTTGCTTCCAAAAATAAAAAATAAAAAATAAAAAAAGAAAAAACCAGAGGACAGATGGTCTAAGAAGACAATTTTACTAATCTGGTGTTCTGTCTACTTGTAGCTTCTCGTGTGTATACGGTATTACTTATCCCCATTACTGGAAGCAAATTTGTACTCTTCAATATCTGTTCATAACTTCGTGTTGTTTGTGGTTTTTATGCATTACATAAACTTGTATAGAATATTGTTCTGGCCTGATTGACGCATTCATTGTCGAAAATTTCCTTAACTAGAGCACTTGAACCTGAAACATAAAGTTTTAGGAAAAATGTCTTTAACATTTTCGATGGGTATGGCAGTGTTGGGGATATTGGTTTTGTCTGGGATTATTCTCTTACCCTTACTACTACCACTTGCTGCAACCGATGATGGTGGAAAGATAGTACATGCCAGAACCAATACAACCATCAACGAACTGGACAAGATATCAATGGCAAATATTGAAGTAAGAAACACAGCCCTTTTGTTTTAGTTCAATATTATTTTGGTTTCTTTCCCTTTTTGCTCTGTGTCTTTTTATGTTAGCAAGTGTGCTTTGAGAGGTTGTGTTTTAGGCCCGATGTGAATTCTGGATTTCTTTGTATAACTGTCTAAGCAGTCTCTTTCCTGATGTGCAGAAGCGTAGTCCAAGGTTGTGGGCCTTCTTAGTAGCCACCTATTGGGTTTCTTTTGTCACGTATTTGTTGTTATGGAAGGCATACAAACATGTCTCTGAGCTGAGAAGCCAGGCTCTTATGTCTCCGGAAGTTAAATCAGAGCAATTTGCCATTCTTGTCAGAGACTTACCAGGCGTCCCTGAAGGTCAAACTCGAAAAGAACAGGTTGATTCATATTTTACAACCATCTATCCTGACACGTTCTACAGATCGGTGGTGATCACAGACAACAAAGAGGTATCAATTATAATAATGTGCTTATCCACTTCATCTAATACACGTTAATGTTATAGTTTTTAGATCACAAATCCATTTTATTTGATTTCCACTGTAATTTTCCTTTTCTCTTATCATTTTAATTTTACAACTTCTGTATTATGAATGTTTTATAGCATAGTATTAGGGTGATGCTTTTCATAGTATACTGCTTCAGGTGGTAATACACTGACACAATTTAATTCTCTTAGGTTCACAAGATTTGGGAAGAACTAGAAGGTTACAGGAAGAAGCTCTCACATGCAGAAGCCGTATATGCAGGGAGCAAAACAACAGCAAATCCTGAAGGAACAAAACCTACCACCAAAACTGGCCTCCTTGGTCTTATAGGTGAAAAGGTTGACAGCATACAATACTACAATGACAAGATCAACGAACTAATTCCGAAATTGGAAGCTGAACAAAAGGTCACTCTTCGAGAAAAGCAAAAAGGTGCTGCACTCGTATTCTTCAACAACAGGGTTACAGCAGCCTCTGCGGCTCAGAGTCTTCATGCCCCAATGGTTGATACCTGGACAGTCACTGGTGCTCCTGAGCCTCGTCAACTTCTTTGGAGCAATCTCACAATTAAGTTTTTCGGGAGAATAATCAGACAATATGCTGTTTATATCTTTGTGGCTTTGATGATACTGTTCTACATGATTCCAATTAGTTTCATTTCTGCTTTGACAACTCTGCCAAAGCTGCAGAAGGCACTCCCATTTTTGAAGCCAATTGTTGAAATAGCACCAATTAGGACAGTTCTGGAGGCATATCTTCCACAGATTGCATTAATCGTGTTCTTGGCATTGTTGCCTAAGCTGCTTTTGTTTCTCTCAAAGACAGAGGGAATTCCTTCTCAAAGCCACGCAGTGAGGGCTGCTTCGGGTAAATATTTTTATTTCATTGTGCTGAATGTTTTTATCGGAGTTACAATTACCGGAACGTTATTCGGTACATTAAAGACCATTCAGAATGATATCAATGGCATTGTTGGTCTGCTCGCAAAGAGCCTTCCTGGCAATGCAACTTTCTTCCTTACCTTCGTGGCTCTCAAGTAAGCTTAAATTTCATATTCTTGTTTTTCTTTTTCGTTTCATCTTCTGATTTATTCTATCCTCATATCAGTTCTACAACCAATTAGTTCTCTTGAGTTATCAAAGACTTCTTACAAAAGTTTGACCTTTTTAAATGTCAATCTTTTGTTGTTATAGATTCTTTGTTGGCTATGGACTAGAGCTATCCCGATTAGTTCCGTTAATAATATATCATATAAAAAGGAAGTACCTTTGCAAGACTGAAGCGGAGTTGAAAGACGCTTGGTTTCCCGGTGACTTAAGCTATGCAACTAGAGTTCCCAGTGACATGCTTATTATCACAATTACGTTTTGCTACTCTGTTATAGCTCCTCTTATCATCCCATTCGGCGTGCTTTACTTTGGCTTTGGATGGCTTGTTCTGCGCAATCAGGTTATGTATCTTTTTCTCCTAATTTTCTCTTTGCTATGCACATACATAAAATGGGATATTAGAAATTTCTTTTCTCGATAACAGGCTCTCAAGGTGTACGTTCCCTCATACGAGAGCTACGGACAGATGTGGCCTCACTTACATTCACGCCTCATAGCTGCATTGCTACTATACCAACTCACCATGGCTGGTTTCTTCGGAGTGATGGAATTCATGTTTGCTCCTTTCATGATTCCACTTCCTATAATCTCATTGATCTTTGAATTCGTCTGTAGAGAAAAGTTCTACCGGTTTTTTCAGCATCCAGCTCTTGAACCTGCATCCAAAGAGATAAAAGAAACACCTAACATGGAACAAATCTTCAGATCCTACATTCCACCATACTTGAACTATGAGAAAGCCGATGACGAACAGTTCGAAGATGCTTTATCTCAAGTTTCAAAAACAGGATCGACGGTTTAATTCATGTATCACGTG